CTGGCAGATTTAAGGACTTATCATCAATTGCGGTTACACCTTTAATTATAATTGGTTCTTTCTTGAAATATGGAATAAATGGAACATCATAAACTACTGCGTTATTCTCAACATGCACAGCTTCAGAGGTCCATTTCATTGATAATTCATATTGTTCTATCTGCTTGAGACCAGAACGTTTGAAAAGTGACCTTGTGGATAGTGATATTCCAGATCCAGTATCCAACAAAATTGTAATTGGAATTAGAACTCCATCTTTTGCAACTACATGTCCTGGAATTATTCCATAATGAGCTGACAAGCGCTGGGCCTGAAGATTCATTACATTATGAAATCCTATTTCGGTAAACCGTTTAATTTTGTCGTTTGGGTGTCCATGTAGTAAAGGATGCTTATTGACTGTTGTACAGCCCGGGACATAACACGACATAAGTTTATTTGGACAATTTTCTGCTACATGTTTTGTCGACGACAGGCAGCGAACACAAACGTGAATCTCGTTCACAATTTGCATCCTTACCATGTCACTCGCTTTAATTAAAACAGGACACTTCCAAAATGGATGATTGTCTTTACACTTAAAACATCTAATACGATCTAATCTTTTTTGTCGCTTTGTTTTCCTTTTTTCTTGCTCACTGCTGTATTTATCTGGTTTAGAAGGAAATTGTGGAGGTTTAGAATTTATCTGAACTGGTGCGGAGGAAGCTTGTCCCCCCGTAGCATCAGTGAAATAAACATTTGAGAAAGATTTAGCCTTCTGTGGAGCTATATGCAACTCTCTTATTTTTTCCTCCAGAAAAGCCACAATACTATTAACACTTTCTTCCTCATGCTGCTCTCTACTCCACAAACGCCATGCTTTTGCCTGTTCTTGATGCATTTTTGACTCTATGATGTATAAAACTGCGGGTGATGTCAGCTCACTATCTTTGCCATTTGAACGACATTGATGTGCGTAGGTCTTAGCATTAATATAGAGAGATGTTAATTGATTTATATCCGTGATTTTATCAATCTTTCCAAGAGCCAAAACTCTATCCAGTGAAACTCGTACTGCATTCCCTTTTACGCCATAAAATTCATCTAATCTACGTAGCACTTTTACCGGCTCAGCAAATGGGTCTGACAGCTCTGGACCGAACATGCTAAGTGCTTGCCCTTTAATTAACTCACGCAAACGCTCCATATCCTCTATTTCTCTATAATGACCTCGGGAACTCGTTCTTTTGAAATCAGATAGAAATAATGCCCATGTCGTTACATCTCCCTGAAATGGCAATGGCTTTGCAATGCTAGATCGCAGAAGCGAAAGCGACATTTCAGACAAAGCATTTGCTTTTTGTTCCTGAATTCTATAGTTTGGCCATAACGACAAGTTTTCCCTGATATGATCATTAGTTGAGGCAGATGAAGAATTCAACATTGCATTCATTCTTCGTTGTTGTTCTTCAGCCTGCTGATTGAGTTGAGCTGCGGTAAGTATAGTTGCTGTAGAATCCGTGAGCAGTGAATCAATTATTCCTTGATCATTATTATCGTTATCTGGTTCCGAAAACGATCTTTTCAAATTTGCATCCAGACATGACTGCGACTTTAATACTTTCTCCTTCAATTCATTTCTTTCGACTTCCAGATTCTCAAAACGTTTCTGAACATTATCATTCAACACTAATTGTGCCTGCAATTGTTTTGCTGTAGTAGCTAGCTGACTTTGCAAATTTTTAATTGTAATTTGCAATTTCTGGATCTCATCATTTTCCTTCGGAGGATTTGGTAAAGAAATTTGTGACTTTGCAAGAGCTTGTCTTGCTTCAGCCGCAATCTTAACCATTTCCTCTTTAATATTTGTATTTGCGGAACAGCATTTGGCACAAAAGAAGGTCGCGAGAAACGGTAATATGGCTGGTTCCAAACTTTGTATACAAGTGACATGAACTTTCGAATCACAAGGCAATTTTCCTATCGCGTTCACATTCTGACATTTGAGCATGTCACCAGCTTGCTTACTGCATTTATGAAAGCACTTAGAATGATCAGCTGCGGTGAGCTGGTCACCAGCCAGCTGAAAATCTTTTCTGCTCATAACCTAAAGTCTGGTTCGAAATGAATTTGGCTAATTTCGAGAAAACTTGTGAATCTAGTTCCCCAAATTTTCTCTTAACGCCTTCATGAATGGTTTATAGTTCGCTAGGAACTAGTAAAATATCTTTATTTTCAATAGATTGACTTAAACAATGAAATTTTTGGACCCAGATGGGAAAAAAATTGAATGATGTCGAGTGGACGAATAAAACACAAATAATTGTATCGTGAATTTATATTTTTGTATTGAAACAATTACGATTCAATTTTTCTAAAAAGTAAAACAATTTATAAATGAATAAAAAAGGTGGAAGGAAAAGCAATTAAAATATTACTTCGTGAAAGATCACGTCCACCCAGCATGAACACTTAAAAAGAAAAGAACTATAATAAGCCCCAAACGGGCCAGCAAACTTTATCTAAAACAGAAAATTTGAAAAATTGAAACGTCGTTAATCTCTTAGCAACAGGAAGACAATTAAATATAAATTAATGTAAATAAGTTGATAAAATTCTTCGTGGAAATCGATTGACATTAGCGCAATTCTTGCAGTAAGGCAGAGAAGGCATGTGAATGTTTAAGATTAAGGAGGTTTCTGTGTTGTTATGATTATTTTATTAATTATGAGAGTATTTTTTAAAAGTCTCTTAAGTCCATAATATTTTAGCAAGATTCTTTTTGGAGATCTAAGGGCAGTACCCATTGGTATGGACCCCCTTAAGCCATCACTGGCTGCAATCATGTAAAATGATTAAAAATCAATTTTCAAAACACGTCGTCCACAAATTGATCACATTATTTAAATATCATACAATGTTGCAAAAAGGGATCATAGCTTGACATACACAAGATACTAAATCAGTACAGAAGCTATCCATAATGGAATAAGTAACGGTAGCTGTTTAATCAGATTTTCATCATTTAGCCACTGGCAGAATGTTTAATGAGCATTTGAATTTACCTACTCAATTAAAGTAATTTTATAATTATTGGATTGATGTACGCAACAGACGGACGGACAGATAAACAAATAATTGCATACCTTGTGCATTTCTCTTTACAAAAACCTCATCATAAAGAAAACTTCATTTATCAGTGAATAATTAATCTATATAAAACTAAACAGTCGAACAGATTCCCCAGAAGAAGTTCATAAAGCATATCATTTTGTTGAATGCTTGAATGAATGTTTTTAGAAGTGTCGAAAAAGAACATTTCAACACCTTTTGTTTTACGTATCTAGTTTAAACAGCCATAATTTAATATAAATAACTTAAAGAATATCGTTTTACTTACACCCTAATATATCATATCCAGAAGTGCGTGGTAGATATCAATTATAGATTTGATGAGTTTAATTCCATTTCCATTTAAGCAGTATCGTCGTAGAAGAGAATCAGCCAAGTGCATCAAGTCACATATCATTGGTGTGTGAAGAAGCACATTTCCAAAAATAATTCCGTTGATAGATAATTGTAAAGTAATGTAGATGAGAATGTTTTTATCATCATTTATTGAAAATAATTTTCAGTGTCCGAAAATAAGGTATTATTATAATCGCAATTAACAATCCCGATGTCATCATCACCGATGTTGTCGTAAAATGTTAACATGAAACAAGAAAAAAATACACATGTTAGGATTTGAAGCGAAATAAATAGTAAGTAGCAAGCAACATGCATGAAAATTGTGTATATACTGAATGTATGGATGTAGCTGTAAGTGTATAATTATAAAATTAGGAAAAATGTTTGGTTAATTTCTCTGTTTTTGATATTCACAACAAATATAAAAGAAAGAACTTAAGAATGAATTAAATACACGAATATGTGGGCATTCAGATATATCAATAAACCCAGTTCACTTGTGCTTCTTTTTTTATACTTTGTGTGTACTAAATTTGTCATCAAATATGTACAACAAATTTTATCACTCACTTTTTATCAAAAAAGGAATTAAAAGGGACCTCGCGTGCTTAATAGCTATGAGAAAATTAACCAAATGGTACATTACATTGATTTATGATAAATCTGTTCACAATTCAATTCTAATTATTAAATCAATAGCTACACTCTTTTTTTATGTGCGTCACATAGGACATTGACGTGTGAGGAGCTATTATGTATAATATCTACAGTATAATGGGTGAGCCGCGGTTAATCATTGTTTAACGAGTTAAAGATTAGAGGGCTTTGTAGCTGTGCGCTATATCAATGCACTCAAACCTAGTCCTACATTTTATGCAGGGTTTAAAATAATCTGTTGATGACATTACTATATGGAGCCTAAGAAAGAAGGCTGCAAGGGAATTTACTTATTAAGTCTAAGGGAAGGACAGGTGGGTTAGAAGAGTAGCTCAAGTTTGTTGAACAATTGGGTACCAAAGTACTATATCACTACACCACTCAAGCTTATATATCCACAATATGCGGAGTAAAAATATTATGACACACATAACTTTAGTAGCAATTGTTATCATCATCAATGCCGAACGATAAAAAATAATCAATCATTTTGCTTGTTTTGTTTGTTAACTAATTTACATAGTGGTAATTTATGTTGTAATTCAAATTAGTTACACTAATTTTTGGTTCGTGTTACTCTCATATATTACTATAGATGTATCCATTCTGACTTGTACATAAATATCAATTTCAGCAAGGCAGCAAAATAAAAAAAAAACAAAAAAAAAAGTAACACCAAATTGCACAAAGAGCGAACACAATAACAATAACAGATTGCCTTAGTTAAATTATATTTCGAAAAAAAGAGACTTAACAAGGCACAAAATATTAATAATAATAATCAAGTAGCAACAACTGTAGTTTATGTTGATTAGTGCTAAAGTTACCTTTTTAATATTAAAAAAATGAGTTTATATCGTGTTTAAACATGAATAAAAACTTTTTATTACCGTGTTCGGATCCTGTAAAGAGAAAGAATAAGAAGTATTATTATTAAAACATTTCGGATTAATTAAAGTAAATTTGCATTAAGGTAATTAGCAAGTTAAGTGTGTGACTAATATTTATTGAAGACCTATGCATACTAATGAGGATATGTTAAAAGATTCTATGTTCTCATTCTCAATAGAACAACTGAATAAGAAAAATCGCATGCGTGAGAAATGTGAGTTAAAATGAAATAATATAATACATATAATATGCTTTATAAAGAGGCTGATTAATAAATGTATCTTTAAATGAATTAAAGTAGTGTAATTTCCTTTAGTAATCATTTATTTTAACATTCTTATATATTGTATATGCTGCATAATCGTGTGAATCTCTCAGTGCAGATTCTTATTAGAGCCTTTTTTGCATTAACAAATTGAAATAGTGTATTCATTTTGTTGGCTGGATTGGTGGCACTAGATACTCATGTAATCTTCTAAAGGAAGTTAATAAGAACGAGAAACAGTGTTCTTTAATTATCAAAACTTCAGATTTGCACGAATTTTATATGAAATAGACAAAGTCAACCATTGAATTGCATGAATTGCATGGAGAAAATTCCATCATATTTTAATATGGCGGGAAAAAAGTATTCAGAACCGTTTTTATTGGGTCAGACATTTAAGAGGTCAGATATGCATGAGTTCTTCATGTCAACAGCTAATTCATCGTCATTAAATTTGGCTTTTATGAAAATTCATATTAAATTATAATTAGTTTATCAGAGCAACTGTATACACAATTATTATGTCTATGGAAGTCAATGACCAACTTTAGAATCCTGAAACTTAATAACCTTTTCAGTTCTTTTGCAAGACACTAGTCTGTTATTTTTTTCAGGTGTATCTTGAGATTAGGAATTTTACAGTCTCGTTTATTCTTTAACCACTTCTATCTTTTTTTACATAGCCCGCCCAGCACACTTGCGTACGTATTCTGTGAATTTTACAAATCATCAAAGATTACTAATAATTAAATTCAAGCTAAACACTTTACAGTGGAGGAAATGATATCATTATTATCATTAGTCACCACTACAGACTTGATAAAATCGCTTTTCATAGCAATATTAATTCTAAGATCCTTTCCCAGCAAGCTACAAATAATATTAGAAAATGCGTTTTAATCACAATCCACAAAGTTATTTTCTCATGAATTTTTCATTTCCACATACCGTATAGTAATCTCAGTGAAAAAAGAAAAAGGAATCAAAAAGAGAAATGTAATTTACTATAAATTGTATAATGAATAATATTGACGGTTTATCATGAAAATTACGTTTAACGAAAATTGTTCAAATTACATGAAAAAAAAGATGAATCGATTGATGGCAAATTGAGGTAAAGAATGAACATAAAAAGGAATTGAAATCGATCAACGCTACTGAGATGATGATGAGAGATTGATCAATAACGTTGCGCATACAAAAAAGTGAAAAGTTATTTTCTTCTATGGATTGGTCAGTATTAATTTAATAATAGATTACTTGTTAATGGTTAAAAGTTTTCTATAAGAATCAATTCAGTACATACTCTATACTCATAATAATAAATCTTATAAGTAAGTAAAAGTAAATTAATCATAATGTTGTATGCATGGCAATAATTTGCTTCATAATGATTATGAGGTTTACCACATTCAGATTATTGGACCTTTTGCATGTTCCTCTGCTTCAGTCTACCCTCAATGTACATATATGAATTGTATCAAATCCCTTAGCTTTACAAATGAATATTTTTTCCTTAAAAAAATGACCATACATATTACTCTATGAATAGACTCTATAGCAAATAAGTTTCATGTAGGTATGAATATTAACCAAAATATAATAAAACAAAATCATAAATTTTATGAGGGAGAGCATTAATAAACCTGTGTGTCTATTAAGCAACTTTAAAATATAAATAAAACAAAAAAAAGTATATTAAATGCAAGTCCATAACACAAAATAGAATGGGACACAAAACTTATTGTCCTTTGATATATTTTATGTTTTGTTACTTATTTTCATAAATTTCCATTAATTAAAAAGTCATGTCAAAGTACTAAAAAATCTTTTTCAGCAATAGAGCACAGAAGGACTTTTTTTTAAGTATATTGTTTGACCTCAAAGTTATTGGAATGACTATGTGAAACTATACTTTAATGGATCATGTAATGTTATTTTTCTCTCTCTCGGATAGAGCTGAGAATTCCTTGCCAAATACTGTTGAATAATATTATAGTGCAAATTATGTAAAAGCATTCGTGTCGGTTTTTTGTAAAAAATTATGACAGTCATTATAATATAGCCTTAACAACTAAGAACAACATATAATTAGCAGATTGAAAATCATGAAATGATTCTTGTCAAAAAAAAACTTTTTTCATTCATATTAAAACCAATAAGTAACAAGAAACTGGCTATTTATGAAAGAAGTTCTTTGCAGGTTGTGCCAACTGAATCTTTTGTAGTGTCGGAGATTCGATTTGACACTAGAGTGTCACGTAACAAAATTTTGATCATATTTCTCATATTAAAGTATGAACCTTAATTGCAAAGTTTTCTAGATTTTGAGCCGTATTTCGGTCACCCTAATGCACATCAACCTACAAAAACACAAATCCAAATCTTTGTTTATTAAGGATACAGCTCAGCAAGGAATTGATTCAACATGTAGATAAAGTGAGATATACCTTAAAAAACGCAAAAACCCTCATTTTCATAACTCAAGTAATATCTATTGGCACTTGCATGTAATATATTTATAACGAACCTGTTATATCAACCAACCAAAACGACGAATTTATCAAAATTAGCCTATGGTTGATTTTCCATTATTATTTTTTGAGGAAAAAAGAATGTATATTGCTTAATAATTTTAATAATAAAAATTTACCAACGTAGATACACAAAAAATTCGATTCGGTAAAATCGGTAGCAAAAAAAAAAGCTTTAATAAAAAATAATAATTCTGTACAGAGCATACAAAAAAGAGATTTTCAGTATTTGTGCTTGGGGCTTACATGGACAGATTTTTCTCAAAAAAAAAGTGTACTTTACGATAAAGTAGAATAATAATAAAGAATTGGTATTTTTACGAGAATAGAAATTTTAATTATGAAATAAGAGCAAGAAATGAAGAATAAAGGAAAGAAAAATTGGATATAATGAAATGAAAAAATACCTAAAAAACATCTTTTTAATGTACAGTAATATATTTTCATTTTATAAAAAATGCACGATAATTAATTTCCGTTTTATTTTAGAGACAGAGACTTTTCTCTCATATAGACGACTCTTGAGGAGGATGGCAGGCATCGAGAATATATGAAGATTCACAAATGTGTCATCAAACAAATTACAAAATGAGTTGGTGGTATGTGTGAAAGATGAGTGACTGTAGAAAAATTATTAACAACTGTAAATAGAGACATTTGAAGACGATGTAGTAGCAGCGGTACAGCAAATATTTAAATTTAAATTTTTTGACATGAGAAGAAGTGGAAGATCAAATGTTATTAACAATGTCACAGTTGAATTGAGTGTGAAAACGATGCTCATGAGCCCTGTTTCAAAACAAATAAATGTCACAACTAATTTCTTTTGTTATTAAATCGCTCTGCCGCGAAGGAATGATTTACATGTTGAAAAATTTTATAATGCCTTCTTTCTGTCTCATCTTGTGCTCCTCTGTTTTGTGTCTTTTCTGTTGACGAACGTATGCAGATGTAATGTAATTCCATGACGTTCGTGATTTTTTGTCGAAACAATTTGAGACATTTTATATTTCCTGATGATGATGAATGTGTCATATCAGAGACGAAAATATGTGTTATAATATCAAAATTGAGCACGCTTCAATTTAATAACTTTTGAAATAAAAATTCTAAAAATATTTCTTTTTTCTTCGCATTTTTACTGTCAAGAGTTTCAAAAGAAAAAATATTTTTCTATTTAATGGCAGGCGTAAGCACTATATAGGATACCGTTTGATATCCAAGAGTTTATGTAAGATATAATAAAGGTAGAGAGTATTTTTTTCACTCAATTTAAAATCTATTTAGATCTAGTGTGATGTAGGGTTGCACTAAGGCGTTTTGCAGCAAATGATAGCTAAACTGTCGCTACCGAAGTCCTACTAGAGACACAGTTTATAATGAAATCTGCACTCCTTGTAAGCTCTACACATTTCAAACACAAGTTTGTCTATAGAACTGATGTATTTTGCAATATACCTAATCACAATTAGTATATTTAGCAAAGGAGATCACATTATGTGCCAAAGACCTCAAAACTACACTCAACACACGAAAAGGATCTTCTAAAACTTGACTTGTCCTAGGATTTAACTGGCTTATTCGCTACATTAAATAAGAACCAATTAACTAAGCCACAAAACCGAGTCTTTTCAGCTTACTATTCACTTTATCACATTTTATTCCGATAAACAAGGTTAACCGTCATTCTTTCAAGAGCACCCAAGCCTTGCAGCAATCTAGATCGCATATCTTCATACAAGATCGCTCTGCTCTTCTTAGCTAGTGTGTTTTTATAATTCATCTCGGTGGAATTTTTTTTGTGTCTCTTTTTCAGTTCTTTTAAAGTGCTTTTTAGAACATTATAAATTGCCACGAAAATATGTCTTTTGGGAGGTCTAAACATGACTTATTCATACATAAAAATTTTTATGATCTTATTAGTAAATTTTTAAATGCAATTTTACTCTTCGCTGCACACATTTATGCTGTGTATGAATCACAAAAGAAATTAGAATAATCAATTAAACAAATTTTTGTCACATGCTCCGAGACATAACAATGCAGCAGCAACATGAATAGATAAATAAAAATGTTTCAAAACATTTAAAAATAAATTTTTTCTTCGTTTCCTTGCCATGAAGAGCACTTTTCTAATTGGTGGAGATTATGTGATCCAGATGTAAATGCGTATGACACTACAAAATTCTTTGGCTTATTATGTTAACATTATAAATTCTAAAATATTTTTCAAAAACGACTTTATGCTGTCAAATAGATGGTGATTATATTGTCATTGGCACATTCATTATAGTCTGGTCGCATTTGAATAATTTATGTGTGAATGCCTCGCAATAAAATATATAAAAAAAAAACGAGAACTAAATTCAAGGAAATAGAAAGATATTTTACTTCCAGAAATCACTGCATTTCCACTAAAATCTCGTTCTTTACATCTTTCGTCAAGACTTTTTACCACACACATGTGAATGAGGATGGTTAAGAAGCGCCAAGTTAAGTAATGAGAGCTTCTTAATTTATTTTTATTTATCTCCGTCCCTTTCTGTTTATATCCACACAATTCTAAGAGTAAGTATATCAAGTGAATATCAAGATAATTCCAACACAAAATGCTAGTATAGAATGTGGTCACTTGTGACTGTTGAAAGCGCATTTTCGCTGCATAGAATTGACTTCAACTTTACCATTTCCTTGTAGTCTATAGATTGGCTCAAGTTCCTACCCTTACGTTATGCGATTTGAGCGGTTAAGAATAAATTACTCAACGAAACGGAAGGCTAGCCACTTTTAGAGGTATATCGACTTAACATCGTTCTAGCCTATGACATAAATCACGCATTAATTTAGCAAAAAAGTATATACTGGAGAAAAGCTAAGCTTTTGATAACAAAATAAAGACGTTCAGGCAAAGTGCAAGCAGAAGCACCCTTTACCTTTCGAAAACTGTATTAAACAGTAAAAGAAAGAACCATGAAGCCATGAAAGTGAAGGTTTCTTGTGCCAATGTTGTGGAAGAATTTTTTTGTTTGTTTGTTTTACTTAGAGTTAATCTTATCATAATTCTGTGATCTCTTGCAGTCTATTTCCATTCTTTCAACATCACCAACTCATCTGTTCCTTCTTCTTCCTTCTTTATAAATATGTATGTATTACATAATAAATGACATGATCGTTTGGCGCCATTATTCTTTTACAATATATATTCGTATTAATGTCCTTTTATGTTGACAACATTTTCTCGCATTTCTTGTGCCTGGTCATCATTCTTAGTTTTCACATTCATATGTGTAGTGTGGAAATGCATAAAAATTTATGCCGTGAACGAGGAATTTTAATTTACAAAAGTTCCGTTGATGAGAATAAAAAGAGTGGCAACAAATAATAAATAAATAAATAAATATAAAAACAATTGACAGGAAAAAATGCTGATATTAAGGCGTTGTGTAATGGTCATTTAATCACAAGTAGAAGCAAGATATATACACACTTGAGAAACATGTGTTATATTAGTTGTTATTTGCTTTTGACGATTTTGCAGCTAATAAATATTTAAAAACATAAAAAATTGATGTTCAACAGAATAACATCTTTCTCATTCCTTACTCACTCATTCTCTGTGTTCTTTTTGCCTTTCTCTTTTTTTTTCTGTGCTAATAATTTGTTTTGCCTGCTTGTTATACTCAGAAATTTGACGTGTGTGTACATTTGTATGAGTAATTATGACATAAAGAATTGTCATATTCTGCATAATGTGTGCATTTGCTTTTAATAATCTAGGATCACATGATATTGACTTAATAAGAATATCTATAAATTTTAACTAAAATACTTTAATTTATCATAGTATCATGTTGCATTCCTACAAAAGACTTCCTATACGTATTTTACAGATTCTAACCGATTCTACAGTTTCAATTTTTAAGTATTAAAAACTTGCTTCAACTTAGGACTACACTAGGAAGGAACTATACTTAATCAAAGACAACATATCGAAGAAAGTCATATACAGTGCGAACATACTCAGGAAATTGTTTTAAGTCTGTAAACCTTGATTTTGGTACTTCGATTTTAATTTTTGATAAGCATCACTAGTTATCCTATGGAGCCTTAATTAGATACTTCACAAATAACATTAAACGTTGAATTAAAATGAAATTCATCATCAAATGCAATCAAATCAAACTAAAACTTTCATAATTTCTATACCTAATGCATGACATGTAAATGATTTCTGTTTTTATGTCACATAATATACGGTCTCAAGAAATATAACGCATTTTAACTACTACATAACTTTTACAAGATAAAAAACCAAAAAAATTTAAATAAAAAAAAAATAGAGGACACAGAAAAAAGCATCTAACCCAAATAATGATGTGGTTTTCTCAGAAGAATCTTAGTTTTGGGAAACACATGAAAAAGAGAGCAAAAAATGACTAGTTTCAAATTACTTTTTTTTAAATTTATATCTTTAACCTTATGCATGTATCTTTTGCACTAATGCAACAATTTGTTGAAAAGGATGCTCTCACTTGAGGCTAGAGAGCCACTTATAGACGTTATTTATTGTAAAAGGACACTTTTTGAAACTGATGCGATTATTAATGTATGTATCATTTTCTAGAGTTCCTTTTTTAGGACCCAAAACACATTTGAAATTCGATTCTTAACTAACAAGTATATAATATGTAATGTTTTGTGATTTCGACATGTTTGTTTAGAGAAAAATTGCCATTGTGTATAAGCGATCTGCTGTGTTAAGTGTGAGTTTCTATTTCAACATTCCTCATTCTCTCTCGGTCAAATTCTTAGAAGTTCTTAATTTGCTTACTGACTTAATGACATTCTCAACTTATGGTTTTAAAATGTGGCAAACAACATACCTGAAGTCTCACTAGCTGTGGATGTTCCTGACCAAGTTTTGCCAATTCTTGGTAATTTGAACGAGCTGCACTGATTATCCACTCCTTGGCTTTTGGATGATTTGTCTGTGAATATGATACGAAAAGAGTAATATAATCATAAAAATGTTTTTAAGTGACTCGACTTTGTTGTATGAGATAATCTTACCAAACTTTCTGCAGATCCAGTCGTGTCATCAACCTGAAATGAGACGAGAATAAAGATTTAAATGGAAATTATTTCCTCAGTTAGCGTTAAAGAGAAATAAATGGCGATAAATTTTCTCGTTGTGTGCATCGATTTGTACAGAAATTTAAATCGTTGGATGCAGGCGAAAATAAATGTGTATCCGAAAGGCCTTTTCAATTCCAAAAATACATTTGAATACAGCATTTTAATTAAATTTCATCTTGTGCATGTTGCGATTTTCCTATGCCTTTTTAAACGGTCTTTGTCTGCATTACTACATCTATCTATGTGATGTGTGTCTAGTTATATTTTGCATATTTTCATTTCCTAATAGATTTCTGAATCTATTAAGTTCTAAATTTTAAAGGGGAGCCAAATGCAAATTAATATGAATAGAAATCTTGTACAGTATGCATGGGAGTGTTCTATAAATGACGTCCGACATAGGAAACACATTTTTTTTGGATGAAAGTAGGTTTAAATTAGTTTTTAAGCACGACTTGAATATCCCAAAATCTAATTTTCATGACATAATTAACGAACAAGCCCTTAGGATGTAGGAGAAGGTTGATAACTCTTCCATATACGCATGTACTTTAAAATTATAGACAAATCACAGGAATAAAAAAATATTTGTTTGAATTTTAAACAAGAATAAAGGATGAAAATTTTGTGTGTGCTGTGCTGTTTTTTGTGGATTATTGACAGAAAGGAAAATGTTGTTTCCTACAAAATGTTTACTTAACATACATACAAATAATGAAAATATTCTTCGTTTGATATGTTCGACAGCTGGAAATTTTTATATTTTATATATTTATTTTAAAAGACGCATTTCGTTTAAATTTTTCAACGCGTGCCTTCCGATTTTGACATGAATGTTATTGATGACACCTAAGTAATAGATCATGTTTACCCAAATATACCGAAATATTAAGATTGACATCATCACTTTGTGAGTTGTGTGTGCTTGTTCATGAAATATCATTCAATGGATAAGTTTTCGTCACATGTGAGTTGTAAGAAGAAATGGAAATGAAAATGATTGTTTCAAAAATAAAGTTTACATTCTATGTCTATTTCTAGGTAGGTTCGCCCAAAAGAAATTTTAATTAAAAATGCAAAATATATCAATCAAATGATTTATGGTGCTGATGATTTGACAAGTTGTTGCTATTGAGTTCAACAGAACGGCACCCAACTAATCATGATTATGCAACTTTTTCCATCATCATCCATTCTTTTTGTACCTCACATATTTCAATTATAAACACCGTTTAGAAATAAAATATTGATGATCTAATGAATAATAATTAAACAATGCTTTAACAATGGATTTGAGTGATGTTAAGTTTATAGATTATGCTGACTCATATTGATAAATCTAAAGCGTTCAAGTTAGTAAAAGATTTACCCACTTTTATTTCAAGATCTAGTTGTGCTGATATTTAGAAAAATAACATCAATCAGACTCACCTTTTCTGTCTTGTTCCTCAACATTTTACTCATCGGTGAAGGGACTTTTGCTTCTTCAGCTTCAGCATATCTGTTGAATTTGAGCATCGCTTCCTTAACACTTACACCCTTACTTTCTTCATTTGGAGATGGACTTTGTGTATTCTCTTTATTGTCATCCTTATTGGTCTCAAATGACTTTTCTATTGAATTTTCTCGACTAAATGAACGACTATCGACCTTCTTTCTTGGCGGTAGGGATGGCGCTTGTTCTTCAATGATTTGTTCGAAGCTATTTTTACGACTTGCTACGTCAACTTTCTCAACTTTTTTGCCGCCGTCCATAAAATTTGACATGACTTGTTGAAATTCACTGACACACTCTTTATATTGCTCTTTTGTATGTGGCTCGAGAATTGGAAGTCCAACAGTTGTCATTGATATTGGAACGTGCTGATGGAATGGAGAAGAAGATGGCGAATTAAGGTCGAGTTTGGGTGGTGCTCGATATGGAGGTGGGAGGCTTTTTACTGGAGAGTCAAGCATTTCTGACGGCAATGACATCATGCTGCTCGAACTTACAAAACTCATATTGGACTGATCATCGCCTGGCACTTCATCGTAATACTTTTTACGTAAAATTAAATACTTTTCGTTGTTCTCGTTCCTGATTGTTGCCAAAATATTCACAAATGTCTTAAATTCCTTTCGTGCTTCATCTAATTTGTTAAAAAATAAATGAAAAATATGCAAAACCTTAATATTTTCAGGCACACGATATGCAAGCTACATATTATTAAATTAGAGCATTATTAATGAACTCAACAGGTGGTTAAGAATTTTAATACAAAGAACTTAATCATTTTTGAAATGTACAATGCACAACCGATTAATATCCATTGATTGCTATCACTTAATCATATCATTATCAGTTTCAATACTTTGTGAATAATCATTTAAAAATATATTTTAACTCACCAACTCGAGATCCAGTAAGAAATTTGCGAAAATATTTTACTAATTGTGTATTTGTCACTTTATAATTGTTTCTCACAAAATACTTGTGTATTTCACGTAACGATAATTCACTTGGTTCATCCATTTTATTGATAAATACTGTTAAAACTGCCTAATTATATAAATTCACAAAAAAATTCATCAAAAACTGATCAAAACAATAACAATGAAGGGGCGAAGCTAGCTTTGACTCGACAATTTTTTGAATATTTTTCGTCAGTTGATCACTTATTAATGTTGATGTGTAGTTTAATTAAGTAATAATTTGTTAATTGAAGATGAAAGTGTTATTGGAATAAATTAATCAGCATAAATAAGGTAAGTACAACCAAGTTATTATTCCTTGATCATTTTCTACGCTCAATACGCGAAGGGCTTTCAAAAAAAGTCCGTTAACCTGATCATATTTTGATTCACAAAAAGAATACAATGAAGAAGCAATGGGCTATGAAAATAAAATAAATCACATCTGAATCGACTGTATTATCATGTACGTTTTATGCACAATTAAATCTCAAATGAAATAATAAATTTCATTTTAATTCTACATTATTCGATTGGTTTAAATTGGCTTATTTATTTATTAGCATGCAATTCTCTCTCTCAGACTAGAATCGAACTTTAATGTGTGCGTTTTGCTGTGCATCAATAAATAAAGATGTTTAAATTGGAGATTATGGTGAATTACATAAAGATTAAGAGCATTTTTGTGAGATTAAATTGGGGGAGGGGGGTTCTGAAAAAGTCTTGGAATAATCTTAGAAATTTTGAATAATGTTTTAATATATTTATAAAAATTGTGAATTTTCAATCAATACCCCCGTCCCCCTCCCCACTCCCTCATTCACACAAGCATTAAAATGTATTTTAAGTAATTTTATGAATGATTCATGAGCGAAAGCCGAATTATTTTGGGATTGAAAGAATTTCAGAACTTTGATCTTTGACACATTCATTTGAATAATGAAATTTGTTGTTAATCTATCAATATATTGTATATGGCACCGAAAAACAAACTTATAATAATGATGGAATATTATAAATAAAATTTTACAAACACCTTTTCATTCATTCTTTCCCTTCATTCATCCATTCATCAAATGTGGGCTTCCTCTCAAACAATTCAATTGACATTTCAATGGAATTATCTTTAGGAATTTAATGAAATTGTTGGTTTGTGTACGAATGTAAATATTATGTGCGGTGCGTATAAAATTAATCGAAAAACGACGTGGGGAGACTTTTATGATTAATTATTTTCCTATCTTAAATAGCTATAGCTTCATTTTACTTGTTAAGAGACATTTCAATTTTGACCTTTATTCTCACACAATAGACAAATAAATATTGAAATTTATTTATATTCAAATGTGAATAAATACGGGGTTTTGGTGGATATTAAGTGCTTCTTAGTAGATCTTTCATTTTTATATTCTTTTGTAGTTTTTGTTTGAATTTTGGAGATATTCCTTCATTTTAGTAATTAATCTCTTGTTTACAAATAACTTCATCACACGCGAAGTATGCAATTTGGTGTAAATCTTATTGCCAATATATTTTTATGTAAAATGCAGTATTAAGCCTTAAATTAACCATCAGTGAAGTCTTGATTTAAAGTATAATTATCTAGATAAAAAACAATTGTATCTTGAAGTTGCTCCTAGGTTCGAATCCTAGTTGTTTTATTCAAAAGATGTTATTAAGTCAATTATTATTTTTTTAAAAAAATATCCAAAAAATTTATTAGAATCAAATCAAAATTACAGACCACCTTCTTTTCCTTAAAAACAAACACTAAGCCGACGACCAAAAAGCTACCGGATTTTTAAACAGTCATTAAGTCCACCAAAATGCAATAATGAAATCATCCCAATTTTCTTGTCAATACCCAATTTGAATACAAGTCCATCTTCATTGAGAAACATTGAAATTATTAAGCGTTAAAAGACACCTGTTTCAAAATCGTCTTTAAGACATTAAAGAGCACTTTAGTGAAATGATGTTAACTAATGACCAGCATGTTATACAAATTAAGTTTTTTTTTTACTTCACTCGGATCTATTCAAATAATAATAATAATAATGATACGTGTAATAATAATGGAAAGGAAGAGGTATCTAAGTGAGTCAAGTGAGTGCTTTATAAAGCCGTCATTGAGAACAATGTCCATTGTGCAATCAAATGAGTTTGGGAAAAGCTTTTTGCTGATAACAAATAAATGTGGGGATGACCATAGATTTTAATTATTCTCACATATAGCAAATCCAAATTGTACAAGTGTTTTCCATTTTCCATTGAAGAAATTTAATTACGAATTTACAATAAACATGGTTATGTATATATATAAATATATCAGCGGTGAGCGTGTGTGCATCGAAAACTGTGCCTTTAGCCATACCCTTACAGAATTCAATGTTTCAATTATTTGTTCAACTTCCGTTTCCATTATTTGTTTCCCTTTAGTAAGTTTTCAAAAAATATATAAAAACCAAAAAAGATGACTCATTATTTATCTCTCATATTATAGACTCCTTAAGTAGTTCTCAAGTATAAAAACATGTGTATCATTAACGTTTTAACATTTAACATTAGCTTATGGGTTCACAATTTGTGAATAGTTGAAGACGCTCGTGTTTTTTATAATTAAGACAAGTTTTTTTTGTTCGAGATTTATTTAAATTAATTAGAGTCGCAAGTCTGATGAATTCTTGTTGCAGAAAACAACATGAATAAAAAGAAGAGGCAAAAAAATTTATATTAATAAACATTTTTTAGCACATTTTTTGTTGTTAATCATCATGTAGATTTGTTTAGGCAGGATTATAATTTTAAGGGCAATTAAATGAGTAATTTTGTGGTAAATTTGAGCAATCTACTTCTCATCTTTGATTAAATTATGCTACATTCTATTTATTGAAATTTTAACGGTTTTCTCACAATTTAAAAAATAACGGTTAGCTAAAATTTGAAATTATTCACAGCTCAATGCTATTTTATGCTACATTTTTACATTTTTGTAAACAAACTCAAAAAGTCTTTTAATTCACTGAAATCAAGGCAATATCAATCAATGAAATGTTTTACAGTATAAATAAATGTCAAACAAAGTTGACAATTGATGGTAGAAGTACCAAGTCATAGATTAATTGAGATAATTTGATGAAAACCAATTTGTTCAGCTGAATTGTTCTGGATTGCGCTGAATTGTTTGAATTCAAAATTAATACCGTTAAATAACGGTTCATTTCCTGTATAAAATGATTTGTGCATTATTCATACAATTCAGAAGACCACACAAAAGTGCACTTCATGGATTTTTAAATAATTCAAACAATATAACTATTATTATTTAGGTATGTAATATCCAGCATTGTATGTATTACGCGTGGCATTAATTTTGAAAGGTATGACAAATTCCATTTTTCAATACACTTATGTGTTCCTTTAAAAATTCATGTCGCGATCAAATCAAAAGAAACTTTCAATTTTGCCGCAAAGTCTTTTTTTGTGTGTTATTTTTAAATGCGCTATGTTATCAGTCGATAATTTGGTGATTCTTTTAAGTGTGAAATGTTTTTCTTGTGAAACGAAAACGCTGTTGTTTCCGTCGTTTAATATTTTTTTTGAAATAGCCTTTTATAAAATAATATTCGAGGAAAAAAGTAATTACACGTAAAATAAACATTTCGACACTGTGTTTCAATAGGAAATGAAAATAAATATCAACGTCGATTGAAAATTGTAGATATTTTTTTTTCACCTACAAACGTGTTCCTTTCGGGACGGTTTCCTCAACAGTTTTTCATCCCTCCAATCAGAAATTTTCCCCTTTCGAAAATTGCTTACACAAGAACTTGCTCTCTTTCTCTCAGAAAAAAAGGAAGCTTGAGATGTGCTTCTCTCAATTGTACCTGCGTGTATCAAATCTGGCAATACGATCCCTTATCATCAACATCATGTCTTTTGATTCTCTCTATTACTCTCACTACATCCACAGCTGGATTGTTAAAATTATTAATATTATTAAGTAAAGTTTAGTCCAGGACATGATAACTGCAAATAATATGAATTATGAAAGATTTTTATTTAAATAATATTTATGTACTCGGTACATAATGATTTCGGGAAACTATATGAACAGCACACACAGCATAGCATAATAAAATAAATTTTTTTGGCCATTATTTTTGTTGTTCCTTTCTCCTTGCTTGTGCATGTGCCGATTGTGACTCTGCCTCATCGTATATATATATATATATATATTTTAATACTGGCAATTCAGAACTTTGAGAACATGTAGCATGGAGCAAAGTTATTTTTTTCTGTTCCTAGCGCAGCACAAGAGTGTTTTGTCAGTGCTTTACTGAATATCCAACAAGTCATACATAAAAAATCGTGTATGTATTTTAGTGAGTTAATTCACATCAAGTTGTTTAATAAAACACTTGTCAACATAAAGGCTTACTATTATTCGTCTCACTCTGTATCATCACAACACAAATAAAAGAACTTAATCCGAATAAAGGAGGGCAGCTGAAAAATATTTTATTTTATTTTCTAGTGGAAGTGACACACATTTAATAAATTCTTTTATTTGTTGGTCATATCTAGGTACCCAATTTGTTGGTACCTTCAATTTTAATAGAAGCGATAAAAAAAAGTTTATTATTGATAAAAAAAATTGTTACAGTTGTGGGACATCGAATGATATTGTGTATGGAACTGATCGTTGCCATAGAACGACGTTTTTTGTTCAAAAAAAAAAAGTTTTAAGTGACAAAGTAAAATAAATTGTGAATTAAAAATAAGAGAAGGAAATGGATTAAAAAAACAGCAGCAGCAGAATATAATACATGAAGTATCGTATCATGTTTAACTGTCATTAACTATTAAATCTGTGAAACATTATAACAAAATTAATATTAAACACGAGTGTAAAATTGTGAATTATTAAGTCATGGCTTGCATCAATGATGATTGGGAGCATCACGTTGTTGTAAATCCAATTTTACAGGACTTGCATTGTGCTGATGAAGAATATTTTGCGACACAAGATGTGAGTAGTCATTTGAATTTTAGATTTTAATTTTGACTACCTTCAGTCATTCAAAAAACACACAAAACAATTTCCATAATTTTCAGAAGTAACCACGTGTTACCAAAAACTCTTTCTGTGGTTTTTTTTATATTCTGTACTGCTTCGTATATTTACTGCTGTTCCATTTATACAATACATTTACTTAGGAAACTGTTTAAAAAAAAGAAGTATGTAGAAGGGAAGATGAAAATGGAAATGAAAATGATGAGAATTTTTAATTTACCGTGTAGAATGTAATTAAAAGAAGACACGCAAAAAAAAAGAAACGAGAATATTGTGACGATGATAATTTGTCGGCACGGAATGAAGCGCGAAGGAGAAAAAAAAGTTTTCTCTCCTAATCACTTATGAACTCTTTCCTTTTTTCCATTCTAACGCTGATGTCGTTTTCTTTCCTACGTTGAAGTAAAAAAATGTGTGATCTGAATTTGAGAAAAAAGTGCGTCAAGTTATTTTTTGAAAATGTTTTGTTCAAGTCAATTTTGGATAAAGGTTTAGAATTTTGATAAGATATTAATGATGATACATCATAGCATCTTAATTCTTTTTGCAATTTTATAACAACAAATCAACAAATTCACATTTTTGAGTTATGTTTACAGCTGTAATTTAAAACCCTAGCTAGTACACCAATTTGATATCTCTGCTTGATTTCTTCATAACGAATTATCGACTGTTAGATAAGTCTGTCCGGCGGCTACAGAATTAAAGTTACTGGCATTTATGATTATCAAATAACACAAAATCATTAAATCAAAAGTATCTATAACATCTTGTTCTTGTTCTTGTTTTGATTTTAAACTTTAATTGAATTTTAAAACCTTAAAGTTTTAAAAACAACAACAGTTTAAGGATTAATATCCAAGGCTCCCGCAGATTATAATCTTTTAAAACGAAGATTATAATCTTAACATGAAGATTATAATCTTCAAAACAGAAAAGATTATTTTCTTTCATACAAAGATTATTGAAGATTATAATCTTTGTTTAGGATTTTAATTTGCGGGAGCCTTGTTACTATCAGTATATTTCTTTTCAACAATTTACAACGACATGGTTTGAGAAATTTGTACAATTTCTAGCAACTTCCAAATTTCGAATAGATAATTTAACACAGATTTGAGATTTAAATTAAACAATCCTTTCCGGATTCAATTAAAGATTTATTAAAAAGATTGCACAATTAACAATACTCTTGTAGTTCAAAATTTCTTACAAACCAAAGATTTGTCAACCTAATATTAGGTTTTTGGTTCGAAATCTTACAAATCTAGAATTAACTTCCATTAATCAATTGTTTGCTTTAAAAAAATTTAAATAATTGTTAAAAATCTTTCAAATCTTTAAAAGAATCCCCAAAAATCTGGATATTTTCTTTTACTTTAGATCACAATTTACCTCACTTCGTTCATAAAAATTTCATAAATTTATACACTTTGCAAGTTTGTGTCATTAATTCACACCAGTACTCTCGTTTTTACTTTTCTGTTGTTTAGAAACAAGCTAAGAATGTGGATTAAAAGCACAATAATTTCTAATGGGCAAGATCAGAAAAAAAGGGAATAAATATTCAAATTCAGATTTCTCTGCTTTTAATAACTTAATTAATATGATTCCTTCACTACATGATAGCTAATAATAGTAAGTTTCTTTTTAACATTCATTTTTCAAAATGGCGACTTATTAAGTTAGTTTAATTAACAAATTAATATTTGAAATCGATTTTTCTTTGAAAAGAAAGCAAGATAAATGTTTGGAAGCTTGACAAAAGTTGTAGAGCTTGCTTTTTTCTATCATATGATCAAAATAGATTTGATTAAAAATGAGTTATTTTAGTTAAATTAACTGAAAACCAAATTGAATGTAAAATGTATTTTTAAATCAAAACTATTAACCTTAATCGGTCAAGAACAATTACTTGATATCTAAAGAGTCTTACTATTTAATTTACATTCGAAAAAGGCTTAAAAGTAAGTTAAATTAACTATATAAACAATGAAATTTAAGTTGAGCAACAAATTTTGCTCTTATTTGCTCACAAATTTATAATTTTAAAAACTGTTACAAAATTTTTGTTCAAATTTTTTACTATAATTTAATTTTCTCTGCTTGTCTTGAACAAAAAGTAATATTTCTTTTGCAATATGATAAACATTGTTAAATTCTATAGTTTGAAATGAAAAAATCAGGAGACGAATAACACAGCAATGACTTATGACTAGTTTTGTAAAACTCATCATAACTTGGTTAATTATAGTAGAATTGAAAATTTTCTCTCACAAACTTAAAGAAAATTACATATGTAACCTTTTTTGTAAAGAAAGATAGTTCCTCAACTATTTCCTTCATATCAGAATTTCAGCTTCAACATTTTAAAGCTGAATTAAGCTAACTTACAAATCCACCATTTTGTATATTTTAGACAAAACTTTTAATGATCTGATTACTTAATTATCTGGTGAAAAAATCGTTATGATTAATGAAGTATTCGCAGAGATATTACATTTGCAACATGGTGTAAAATCGAATTTCCTCAAAATTGTTCGTGACGCTTAGCACTTTAAATTAATTTTTAATTATAATACAATGTCTAAGAGATACTTGTTATACACCAAAATATAGGTCTTGGCAAGGAATTTAAGAAAAACACAAGTCTTAAATACATATTTCGCATTATTGATTCAAAAATTGTAAATTATTGTTAAGCGTCACGAACAATTCATTTTTGATCTTGCCCTAATATTTTTCTCATTCTGACTTTTTTTTTTCACTCACGTTACATCAAGTTGATAATTAGAAGGGTGGCAAAGCACAAAAAGTGTCAAAAAGGCGAAATGAGAGATAAGACGAAACTTTTTAGAGCTGTACAGCACGCAGCAATTATTTATTGAATTTTATCATCATTTAAACATTTTATGAATTGTTAAAAAACTACTCGAAATGATAAATTTTATATAATCTCATTTTCATCTCTTTACTACCCTCCATGTCTGCCTGAGTACTTTTTCATACTCATAAAAAAATATAAGAACAAAAAAATAGTATGAGAGAGAGTGGAAATAACTTTTAATTAACTCATTAAAATGAAAGCAATCTTTCTTTTTGGTTTTTTTCTTCATTCTAACCCCTTCTCATCTCATACTATATGATTATCTCTTACTCACTTCTTTAATGGCATAATTTTATTTCATACTCAACTCTACACATTTTTTTCCGATTCAAATGAAGTTTAAGTACATTAAATATTTTTTTTTTCACTCTCTATCCTAATATTCGAGGGTGTTTATTATGTGCCTTTTATCATGTCTAACATAATTTCCACACGCTGATCATGTATGAAAGTCGTTTAATTAGCATATAAATATACGCGCGAGATTTGAAACACATGACACAAAGAGGCAATTTTGAAGCGAGATTTTTCTTTTCTTTTTGTAGCTTAAAACCTAAAAAGTTAAAAAAATCTCAATATAAGAAATTTTTTGGTTGATTGGAATATTTTTTTGGATGTTCTTGTAATGACGCATTTTGATTGCGTTGATTTCTCTACTTGATATGTTTTAAAGGTTCCCTTAGTTGTCAACTTACTTCGCAAACTATCTCGCACAAAGTTTGTAGTTGTGTACTATCTGACAATTTACCAAACTCATTTTTATCTTTATCAACAAAATTCTTCAATTTGTTTTTTTTTTTTATCTCAAACGCGATCTTTTGATGTGTCCAAGTGATTGATTGAATCAAAGATCCTTGGTTGAGTTGATAAATTGAGATTTTTGAGGAAATCATTTAGAAAAGTTCAAATTCTGTTTTTTATAACTGACCGATAACCATTTGAGTTCCCAACGATTTTGTAAGATAATATTCAGATCAAGTGTATCTCAACAAACATTTCTTTTTCAATACATCAATCTAATAGTGATGGTATTGTGGATTCTTAAGAGATTTGTGTTATAAAAGAGATTGCTCATCAATGTCTTATGCAAATCGACATTCGATATGTTTTTAATTGTAGAACTTTTAACATCTAAAGATAAGGAATTAATATTATTTTCCAAGAATATGAATGATTCCAGTGTTGCAAATGCAGATGTCTACACTAGATGAAGAATGTAGATTCTTTAATAGTTTTCGTCTAGCTAAGAAACTTTCTTCATAAAGATCGATTCTATATGAAGATAGAAAATCTAATCTACACAAAGATTATATCTACATAAAGAATCTGTCTACATAAAGATTCGATGTAGATGTCTACAATTCTACATTCTTCTCAGCTCTACATCAGAGAAGAATGTAGAATTGTAGACATCTACATCGAATCTTTATGTAGACAGATTCTTTATGTAGATATAATCTTTGTGTAGATTAGATTTTCTATCTTCATATAGAATCGATCTTTATGAAGAAATTTCTGTCTCAGAATTTATCTGATTCAGACAAATGGCCAGAATGCAACACTGAATGATCCCAAAAATCGTAATTGAAGTTTATTGAAGAAAAAACAAAAAATAATATTTTAATGAGAACAGTTATTCTTTTTCTTAAAACTCTTAAATATTGCAAATTACATGTTCTAGAGTGACTCATCTAATATTTAGACCTGCCATTAATTCATTTTTCTGTTGGGTTTTTTAAATCTCCACAAAAACCCAAGACTCAATATTTCTTAATTGGTCTGAAAACTTCTAAAACTCGTTTAAAAAAAAAATTCCAATTTTCTCAACTAGATAAGTATAAGACAGAAAGTCAAACATATGTAGCACTGACAGCATCATTAGAAAAATAAGCGATAGAAGTGAAAAAAATCAAGAAGTGTTAATGAAACAAAATGATCTCGATGTACTTGCTTAGTTCTTTTTTTCTTCCTCCTTAATGATCTCTTTAAATGATTCCCAACGCTCATCTTAATTTCAGTTTAGTTATGTGTACATGTGGAGTAGATTATTATGCTATATTTACACATA